ATGAGCTGTAACTGCTTGGTGGCACAGACTAAGTTTGGAGTGCAAACAGCTCAGGAAGACAGCAGAATAAAGCAGAAAGGGTTACTCTTTTAGCCATTTCCCCTTCCAGCAATCTCTTCTAAGGACTATTCTGCCATGCTATTTAAGCAAGTATGAGGAAAACTAGTTCTGCAACTGCCTTTTTGCAACCTAGCTTACAGACTATGCCCCAAAAGCATCAATACACTTAGGTACTCACTCAGTTACTTCGTAGGGTGCAAAAAGGAAGGGCATTAATGGAAGCAGGATAGGTCTGTTCCGACATCCTTGGTATCTCACCTAGAACACCCATGTGGCAAAAGGGCCAGCTTCTGTCTTCCTGAATCAATCAAAAATACTTCGTGCTTTACTCTGAAGAATTTGGTTTAGAGTGTTTTTGCTAATTTTGCTGTCCTTCCTTTTAAGTCAGGGGAAAAAAAATATTTTGACTAGAAAGCATCACTCACTATGATTACAGAACTGAAGTTACCAAAAGCTTTTCTTGTGACAGTGCTAAATAATGAACAAAGGAGCAAAATCACCATGACTCTCTTTCCCTTTAATCCTTCCCTATTCCAAATGTGATTAACTTATAGACAGTAAAAGCATATAGGTTTTGCATTATATGTAAAGACATCTGGGAAAAAAAAAATATAACTTCTTGCACAAAAGAAAGCCAACAGCTCTGTATATTACTCCTCCCCAGACAAAAACCAAGCACCACTCAGGCAAACTATCTCATTGGAAGGTTAGAGTATTTCCTTGCTTATCAGCAGGCTCTTTGAAAAGCATGGAGAGTGGAAGCACATGAAGATAAAAGCACAAAGAGGACAGACAAACTTGGGTTGCCTTTTTCCTTTACAATCAAAAGGAAAACTTGTTTTTAAACTAGATGGCTATTACAACCCAGAGTTTATAAATAAATTAATAAATAACCCCTCCAAAAAGCCAATCAATAGTCAGCAGATTGACTTAACAACTGTTTCAACAAAACAACAACAACAGAAAAGCTGTTTGAAAAGGTGTTTTATACTCTGCTTGCACTAGTCATTGCTGCAGGTCATTGATCTTTTACAGACAAACAGCCTCCATTAAAACTTACTTGTTTTAGCCTGGCAATTTCTCCTGGAAGGCTTGACCCTGAGGGTTCCTCATCTGCATGAGGCACTGAGTAAGAAGCAGTGTTTTCTATGATCTAGTTTGACATACATATACCACTACCATTAGCTAGATTGCCAATGCCTCTTTTTATGCATTCTCTCTGTGCAGAAAAGAAAATGTAACTGTTTGACTAGATAGAGAAGAACATGAATAAGTTAAAGAATCTGTAAAGCTTAGGACAACAGCTTAAATACGGGTCACATCTCAGATAGGCTGGAGTGCCTAACTGCCGTGTTTTCATCTTGTGTCCATGTTTAGAGAAGTAACAGGATGGAGTTCACCCCAGATGTAAGACACTTCAGTAATATTGTGGGTTAACTTCTAATTCTGCTCAAAGTTACGCATTTTGAACAGTCATTCCTAAATAACCTGCAGTATACTAATCCTGACTAGAGTAACATGTAAATTCTGAAAAGAGGCTTAAAGCCCACATTTTCAAACCCAACATTTCCAAAGATTGAAGAATAAGGAACAACTTCAAAAAAAAAAAGAAAATACCTTAAATGGTAAGGAGAATGGAACCAGCATATCCCCAATAATACCATCAGTTCTATTTCTGCCTTTCTTAACAGGTGTTAGTACCAGCCAGTGCACAGGGCAAACCCTTAAATTCGCTTTTGTACAACAGACCTTCTCAAATAAATTTGAGGACTGGGGGTGTCTGGCGTTTTTTCCTATATTTGGGTTCTCTTTAAGCATTAGTACAATTTTTCAATAAGGAATGAAGCACATTAAAAGTTAATTTATGCCCCCATAGCTTCCATTAGTTTCTTATTCTGAGGAATCTTGATTTCTACAGCATAAAGAAAAACTAAAACAGAGCTACACAACAGCTAAAATTAAAGGCTTTATCATCATTTCCACTAGGACTTTAAGTCCTCATTTTGTTAAACAATACTGGTGAATGTATAAATATGTCTATAGGTGTATAACATGCATCTCTGCCTTCTGTGCTTCCCCTTCATCTCTTAGAAATAGCAGTTCCTAGCCTCTGAATTATGAAAATTAACAGTCTAGTCCTGGGACAGAAATCAAAAAGCAAAGACATATGGGTTCTCTAAGATTTCTTGAGTATTCGTAAGACTAAACATCTTTGCAAAGTTTACCCTAGCAAATAATTTAAAAAACTCAAACACAAATCACACTAATAATTAATTTGGGGTAATCTAAGGAGATCATTAAGAATAATTGAAGAGAACACCATAAGATCTCATCTATCTCAGAAGCACTGAAATATTCTGCATCAAATACATGAAAATGCAAATTTTCCAATGTGGACACTTAAGTCTATTAACAGAAATGGAAAGGGGAAATAGATAGAATAAGGCATTCTTTTACTACTGTTTCCATTGTGCAAAGCTAGACCTGTTCTATTTACTTCAGTACTCTATATTTACATCAGTGGGAGACCACAAGTTGCTAAGAAGGTAGAAATAACCATCTACTAAATTAACAGAATTAGACCGCTATGGACAAAAAAAAAAAAAAAAAAAAAAATCTACCAAAGAGCCTAATGCATTTCTAAATTAAAGACTTCGAGTTACACAGAAGGTATCTCCCTCTGACATTGTTTGCACTAAAATCCAGTCTAAAGAGTATTTACTTCAATTAACATACCAGTCCCTCTACTTCCATTAGACTTGTGTACAACAGCAACCATATCTAAGAGCTAGGAACAGAAACTAAGCCTTCTCCCTCTCCACAACTCCACAACACTTCGTAACTGTATCAGGGAATCAGGAGTAGAACTCTGTTTTCAATATCCTGATACATGACAAAGACAAAAATAAGTAAAACAAAACCAAAACAAAACACAACAAATGTTATACGCACTTTTTGAAGATCCTGGATGAAGTCCTGTTGTCTTCCAGGAGGAGTCCACATGACTTACCTTTTCAGATAATTTTGAAACCCACATCCTCCTGTGAGCGTTTCTAAATCACCAGCCAGGCATGACACTGAGAGACTGGCTACTACGCCGCCCACATCACCCACACTCATATCAAACTCCCCTCTCTGCTCTGCATGGTTTCCAGCTGACAACTCCAAAAAACAGCAAGAAATGCCCAGTTACAGGCACAGGAACCTGGTTTCCTGACACTTCAGAGCCTTCTCTAAGTCATTAGCAACAGCTTAACAAGGGCACTGTGACATTCTGGAGCTGTGAAGCCAAACACATTAGAAACAAACCTATATCAATAATATCAAAGATTTCCTGGACGTGTATTTAAATGCATCCTAACAGGTTTAAAGTAGTGCTTCTTTCACACAACAGGTTTGTGTGCTATGCTTAGCAAGTCTAAATTGAATGACTGAACAAGTAGTTTGAGAATGGGAAAGTGGGTGTCCCATTGACAAAAGCAAACCAAACCAAACTGCAGAAAATTGGCACTAGATCTTGTGACTCCAATATGAAACATTTTTTTCTGGACCCAAAGAAGTCATTCTGAGTTCCAAAACATCCCAAAACACCAGGCATGGCATTACAGTCTATAAATCTGTGTCAGTAGTAATTTTTTCATATAGCCACTGTCAAAATATGAATGTTGATAGGCCTTTCCAAATATCTATTTAGGAGAACTGTGCTAGGAGAAATGGGAGACCAATACAGGCAGCACTACATATGATTAACTCAGAAAAGCAGGCTTTCTGATCTTCAGAAGAAACAAACTGTCACCATGTGCTAAACAGCTTGTCATATGTGCCATCAATTCAGCTACATTTCTAAAGTGCCATCAATTCAGCCACATCTCAGACTTCTAGAGGAAGGGCTGCAAACATGACAGTGCTGTGGCACCAATATTGAGTGAACTTTGCTGGTACCACCAATAAATTTTACCACCAATACCCTTAATGAAAAGCAGCAGCTCCTGAGTTGCAGGTGGTCAGAGTGGACTGTAAGAGTCTTTTCTGGTTTTAAAATTCACACACACAATGAACCAAATTATTGAAGCCTACTGTTGTGCTTACTACAGCACTCATAATGTGCTCCTTTGTTCCCTGCCTTGGAGCAGTGAGGGAGAAGGGGACTGTCACCCTAAATAACAGTAGGCAGAGAGTAGAGCTGAACTGATCTGCTCCCTCCAGGCAGGAGTAAAGGCCAAATCATGATGAGCAGAGGGAATGTCAAAAAACTTATTACCTGCCCCCTAAAGGAAGACTTAAGGGTTTTATTCAATTATTTTATCAGAGATCTTAATAACAATTGGCCAAGAAGAACATCCAATGTTTTGAGATAACGCAAATCAATATGCCGAGAAGCACAACAGCACTGCTGTACGTTTAACTGATCACTGGTTTTAACTGAACATTCTAGCAAACAGTATCCAATACTTCATCTTAGCATACAGCTGGTATTTCAGTAGAAGGTTATCTAGAACACTACTCATTTTACAGGCATTCCATGACTTTTTCACTGAGGTTTGAATAAAAATATCAAAGCATAACTAAGCACAGAAAACCTAGCCATTTTTTTAACCTATGTAAATATTACATACAATATCTGCAAGTCACTCCTGGTTCTTTTAAACCAGGACTTCCATTAACATCAATTACCACCATTGGCCTGGTAGAATTAGCTTTCAAAGAGAAAAAAAGCCAAACATAAACAAAACCAACATGTACCAAATTGCACATTTTCATTTTACCGAGGAAAGAAAATAACCTGCTGTATGCTTTATACAGACTTCCCAGGAGAAAAAAGGCTGGCTTTGATGCTGGTAAAGTTGTATTGCAATTGAAAGAATGACTAGTCATGTGTTCTCTGTACTCCCAAATGTCAGAACTCACAGGTCACCAATACAATGGAAAAGTCTACTTACGGTCATTACACTGGCTCCCAGAATATGAAGTCATGGAGCAATCACATGTGAAGCCTTCCCATTGCTGATTACAGATGCCCTGATTTGCACAGGAATCTTCCTGGCAGGTAGTGCTTGGTCCTGGAGAAAGGATGACAAGAAAAGGGTGAAATGAAGGTGAGAGAATCACTTTGGTCAGGCCCACAAAAGCTTCAATTAATCACTACCATTACCATAAGAATCCTCATGCAGAAGAGAAAAAGCACTAACCAAACACTATTTATTCCTGGACATGCAAGAAAATCAGGAAAAAAGAGCACAAAGACAACTGCACACTTCACAACAAAACAGCAATCTGTACCACAGCGCAAGAAGGAAGAGGGAAGAGGGAAGAGGAACATATTCCCTCTTGCACAGGCTTAAGTCACATGTTCCAAGTTTGCTCAAAGAAGCTTACAGTAAAATATGGTGTGATGCAAGGATAACAAACATGGCCAGGTTGTCCTGCTTCCCTAGAAGTTTGATCCCCTGGTGGAAATGAAGGCTAAGCAATGGGCCCACAAACAATGCTTCATCCCACCCAAAGAACCCCAATATGTGGAGTCAAACTGAAGTTCTGAAGCCTCAGTTGGCTACAACTTTGCTTTATAGCTCTGAACAGTCCTATTACATGGGTTTCTCTGGAAACATGTCAACAAATTCCTCAGAAGGGCATGACATTAGTTCACAACACTTCTCTATTCTGGAGTGGTTTGATGCCTTTGGGGGAAGCAGAGAAGGAAGCAGCCACTACTAACAGAACAGCCTATCACTGTTCTGTGATTTGCAGCTAACAGTTGCTATCCTAGTCAGATAAACCTTGCAAAGGCAAAATCCAAGCTATAGGCAAAAAAGTGATCTTCAGAACAAAGGAAATCTGAATAACAGCTAGTATGTCTTCCACAAGAAGGTAGCTGGATTCCAAATCGCCTGAACACAGGTGTGAAGCTGCAAGTCATAGATTATAACATGAGTTTAGAAGTTACTTCCTGGGAAAGTGTTTTATCTTAAGCATTCTAGATAAAGGTATGGCACTCCTGTTGTTCAGTACTTCAAATAAAATGTACAAATACATTTGACATGCTTACTATTCTGTATCCTGCACATATTGGAAAAGAAGAAGAAATGAAAAAAAGCATACAGAAGAGGATAGACTGGCTGGGTTGCCTGAGATCAGTTTATTAGCCACTTCCAGTCTAGGACAAAGAAACCACTGTTCAACCCATCCCAGCATCTTTTATCACAGTCTTTGCTAGCAACAGCAACTCCATGAGGCTTATCCTAGTCTTCACCCTTATGTCTTCATCACATCAGCACCACCATCTGTATTATATAGATGAGACAGGACAGACCAAAATGGAGACAGCATTTTCAAATATCTTTAGCTAACATGAAACCCTTCAACCTCCATCTGACAACATCCACAATGATTTCACTGAAGTATTCAGTATTTCTTTGGTATTCAGATTATGCACCTGGGCACTTCCATATTTACAAGCCTTTGTAGAACCCACATCTAACTGGAAGCCTCATGTCAAAATATGATCCTCCTACAATCTAAAGACCAAGCCAGGAAGGGACTTGTAACTGGTGCAAGATTCCTGCTCTTCCCAGCAGATCCCCTTTCCCCACTGCAGGAACAGAATAGGTGAACTTCAGTAGCTTTTTAGCTATCTGTGTTTCTTTGCAGGATATCTCTCCTGCAATGAGAAGGAATGTGTGAATCAGTAGTCAGAGTTTCACTTAATGTTAACAAAGACCTGAGCTTCTCCCAAAATTTATTACACTATTAAAAAAAAAAACAAACCTACAAAACCCCAAACCTCTAGGTAGAAGCAGAAGTGTGGATAACAAAAGAAAACAACAAAATCTCTGAAAGAAAATTCACCTACTGAGAAGAGGCGGTGGCAGCAGCCACAGCAAGAAAACCCCTTGTTGCCATACTGAAGGAAAGCTGAGCAGCATTTTTCAACACTTTTCTCCTCCCCTCCACCTCTGCTTTCCACCCACCTGACTCTCATTTGCAGCCATGTAAATCCCAGTGGTCTCACAGGCACAGTGTGAAGTTAACAGATCACTTCTAGGATTACAACACAACTGACAGACTTTCCAGCGTGGGCTGGAAGGCACATGTATGTACACACTTTCCTCCTGCCTTTACTTGTGTAAAAAATGGGTATAAATATATAGATATACATGAATCAGGTTGTGATCTGACACTTGCTTCAGACTTACTCTGTCCCAGCAAAAGAAGGGATGCCATTTAACAATCTGAAATAAAATATTAATTGTCATTTTGACTAAAATGTCCAAGGGTAAGGAATTCTGAGGATTCATTATCTAAGGAATGATAAACTGATACCTCTTCCTGTACATCACTATCTCGCAATCTAACCTCTAACCACAAATATGAATAGCAATAGTCCTAAAGGTATAAACAATTTATTTAAAAATAAATCCAGAAAGTAACTGTGAATCCATGCAAACTTGATACAGTATCAACTGTAAATATCATTATACAGAAGCAGAGCAGAACAGCATTTTCAATGATAATGATTCTCCACTCTTCCTACACTCCTCTGAGAACACTTTAATCAGTAATTGGACTTGACAATGGGCACATCCTTTGTCTAGGTGCCCCAAGAGAAAGGACTCTACTCAAGGAATAAGGCTGCATGAGGCCTTGTACTTGTGGCTTGACGTATTAATAGTGAGCAAGTCCAGAGAGCCAAAGTACTTGAATTCATGGCCAGTATTACAGTTTCTGAATTGTATTTTACAGTAACCAACTGTGAATACAGGAAAAGAGGGAAAAAAAAAAAAAAGAAGAAAAACAAAAAACCCCAATAATGAGGAATTTTGAAAGCCTGACAATACCACAAGGAAGCTTGAAGTCTGATCTGCCAGCTTTAGAGTCAGTTGTGATGGACTAGCATAGATATTGGATATTGCACCTTGCCTCACTCCTTACTACTGTGGGCCATTTGCATCATAGAAGGACCTTCATCTCAGAGAGTTCATTTATTCCTGATGCTTACAGTCTTTGCCTGATGTCATAATCCTCCATCTGTGGCAACAGAATTTTGATCAGAGCAACTAATAGGGATGTCACAGGGGATTAGGATTTTGGATTAGGGAGCAAAGCAGTAGAAGCACAGGAAGGCTTATAAAACATGAAGATTGTGTTACCACGCACATGCCCTTTAGCGCTAACAAACAAGGAAAGAACATGACAAACAATTTATATATAAAGCAGTAGAATTGTTTCTAAATTACTGAAGCCATCAGGGCTCAGGTCTATTTTTAATCTCATTCCTTTGACAGCACTTAAAGAAGTCAAAGTATTTAAAAGCAAAGTTTCAGAAGCAGTCTTCACATGATAATCTGAAATACCTCTGATTTTGTTGTCTGTTTGTAGCTGGGCTTGGCACATTGCGTTCTTCATGCCACATGGACAGTGGAAAGGGAAATGAGTGGGCAGTAGGTATAGAATAAAAGTGGAAAAGTCCCCAGTGTAGAAAAGCATCCCTGATAGAAGGGTGACTTGCTGTCTCTCATCCTGTCCAGACTAGGCCTACCAACAGAGATGGCAAGGCAGAATTCTTCAACTATGTCCTTTTGATCTTATGTCTACATCTCTAATTTTTATTGGAACAGCTCAATAACTGAGGACTTGCAGGATCTGAGATTTGTTGCACCTTCTCCCTGGGAAGGAGTCCAGTACCACACTTTTCTTCAAAGTTACCTACCCAGATGTATTGCTTGTTTATTTTACTACTAAGTATTTGAAGAAAATCACCTTAGAAGACTATAACAGCCAGATATCTTACCCATATTCTGCTTGGACAAATTACTTCATATACCCTAAGTCTTTCCTACAATTTCAGCTGTATGGTAGATTTCTCTTTGCCCTGAAACAAACAAAAAAAAAATAACTCTGCTGCATAGTGCTAAATGGTGGGTGTAACATCCCACAGATAGGTGTGTTTCACTGGCAAGAAAAGCCATTCCTTCTGTACTGTTTAAAAGCCCTTTGCAAAAAAAGCAACTTCAGGAATAAAAGATAGTATTGTGTTTAATTTTTTTGCCAGTTACATGAGAAATCAGTTTCTTTATGCAGCAGCTACAGGATTATAACACAGTTGTGTCATGCTTTGATCACAAATAGCAATAAGCATGAAGATAAGCAAAGTGTTATTGGTCTCATACATAACAACTTCCTTCATACAGCAAAAATTCACTGCTACTGAAAGAAATCAACCATTTCTGTTAACACTATTTTCTCAGTAAGATGAAGATCTGCAACAGGCAAGGTTCAATGACAACATGGGCCCCTTTTCATTCTCCATCTCCCTAAACACTTTCATCTTTTTCCCTAGTATCTTCAAAGAGGTTAGAAAGCAATAGGAAACTAATACACAGAAGACATCTTTTCAGTCTTTGCAGAATAAGGTGCTTCTTTTCTCCCATAGTTCCTAAATTAAAAACACCATCAAGCAGTAAGACATCTCTACCAGTAAGATGTTACCACCTATTTATACCTATGATAAATCTACAATCTATTTCTGCCAGCACTCCTCTTTCATAACCAGAGGCAGTCAGCTTTTCTTAATTTAATGTGTAGTACCAGTTCAGCTCAAAGAGGCTGAACTTCCAAGACATCAGGTCTTGGAAACAATATGGACAAGATAGAAAATAAACCTGTTCCAGGAATCACTTGGTGCAGGTTAAGTAAGAAAAGCAGTTAATCCCATTAAGTTTTCCGATTTTAGAATAATTTGGAAAAAAAAAAAAAAAAAAAAACCACCACTTTTTTTCTGGGTAAAAAGTGAGAAAAATTGAGAATCTCAAGGAACTATCACTTCATGGGATGGACTATCACTGTAAAATACATATTGGTGGTATGTCAACATTTACTTTGCATGGTAAACTAAAGTACAGTGCATGACTCAGAAAGTTAGATCCTGTGTTTTGAGTCACAGGTAGTAGAAAGCAGGACTATAACAGACTAACATGTCAAAGCAGATCCCAAAAACCAAAGAGATTTTCAAGGACTGCAAGGCCAGCTCTTCAAGTTCTCAGTTTCATATTTTGTTAAGAAC